TTTTGTTCTAAAAAATAGTTTCGTTCCTATTTTTATAAAAATAGAGATTGGATTAAATTTATAGGTTAACTTTAGATTAATGCATATCTTCATGATTTTCAGTATTTTTCTATCCCCAAATAGCATTTTCTTTTTAAGACCTGGTTTTTGTTCATAAGTCAATATATATATTGATGTATCTAGGGTGTGTATAATAACTTCTAATTATTGTTTTAATTATCATTATTTTCTTTCCTCACATGATAATGTCTAACCGGTTACAGTTTTTGTACTTGGCAGCTTGTTTTTTTTTTTTTTTTTTTGGTACCAGGGATTGAACCCAGGGTCTTTATCACTGAGCCATATCCCCAGCCCTTTTTATTTTTTATTTTGAGATGGGGTATTGCTAAATTGCTTAGGCCTCACTAAGTTGCTGAGGCTGGCTGTATTCTTGTGATCCTCCTGCCTTACCTCCTGAGTTGCTGGGATTACAGGCATGCCCCGCTACAAATGCTACACACCACGGCAGGAGCTTTGATTTTTATGTTAATTTTGTACCCTGCCACTTTCTACAAATATCTTGTTTAAAATATTTTTTTCTTGTAAAAGATGTTTTTTATCATAAAGCATACCATATACATAGAGACCTGCTTAAAATTTGTATGTTCAGTTTAATAAATAGTCTTATAAAATAAATGCCCTTGCATCTACCACCCTATTCAAGGACAGAATACTGCCAGCAATCCAGAAATCCCTAATAATTATTTTCAATAGAATTGGTCATTAATACTTAAAACTCAGGGCTGGGGCTGTAGCTCAGTGGCAGAGCACTTGCCTAGCATGTATGAGGCACTGAGTTTGATCCTCACCACCACATATAAAAATAAATAAAATAAAGGTATGCTGTCCATCTACAACTACAAAAAGAATTTTAAAAAATACTTAAAACTCAGGAGATTTTACAAAAAGATCCACTTTCTCTTGAAAAATCAGAAAGCATGGCCACATTGGGGCCACATTCCCAAATGCCACAATTGCAAGGAGCCCTGTGGCCATGGCCCTTTTAGATGGAGTGTGCAACTTTTTAGCTCAGCGTTAGGCCAAGTGTCAGTTGCCATTTATCATCACACTGAAGCTACACTTTCCTTGGACATTTCAGAATTTCTGAAGTTTGCTTTAGAATACAAAACCAAAAGGAGCTGGTAGGAGGTTGGAAGGTGAGGCTGAAGGAGAAGACTTGGTTCTGGTGTAGGTTAGTGCTGCTCTCCTTGGGGTGTTCCAAGTTTTTGAACTAGATGATTCATCTGCTTATGAGCGCATTGAGTTTGAGGTGCCTCTGGGACAAACAGAAGAGATGTCTAGCAGACAGGAGCACATGCAAATACAGAATTCAGCCATTTAGGACTGATCAGCTTGTAGTTGTGGCTGAAGCCACAGGAGTGGATAATGCCACCCAAGGAGAATTATTGGACATGAAGAACCTTGAGGAGCCCACAGTTAAAGAAAGCATCAGGGAAAGCAGATTCTTTACTGTGATCCAGCACTTAGATGAATGATTTCCAGGGACTCTGGAGAGAGGAGGGTGCTTCTACGCAGGCAAGAGCAGAGTGGGGGAGAACTGTGTTCCACATGTCAGAGAAGAGAGTTGGAAGAAGGTGGGGAGTATTTCATTGGGATGTTAAGACCTACAGAGAGATGAGGAGAAGTGCTGAGAAGCACTCCCAAGGGAATCTTAGCTATAAGAATCCTTGGTGAGCTTGATGAGAGCAGTTTTAGAGTTGGGGTGGGTGGGGAGCCTCCTCTCTGGGGGTGAGAGTGAATGGGAAGAACGGAAATAAAAGAGAATCTTTTAGGAGGATTCTTTAAAGAAGGCAGGTTGTGAGGGGGAGGAAAATGTGTTGCTTGCAGGAGGATAGGAGTCAAGAGAGGGTTGCTTTTCTTTTATTTCTTTTTTAAGGCCATAGAAACTTGGCTGTATTTCAATCATGGGAAGAAACAAGTAGGTTGAAGGTAGAGGAGAGTTCGAGAAGATGGCAGGAAACAGCGTTAGACCAGAATCCCGGAGGAGGGTTCAACTTCTGTGGGAGGAGGGACTCTCCTGCTTTCCTGTCATAAATGGAAAGAGTCTAGCTGTGGAGATAGGTTAAGTTTACAAATTTTATAGCAGGAAGTAGATGGAGGTCCCCCCCCCCCACCACCCTGTGACTAGGAGGTGAGGCTTTCTGTTGGAGGTGTGGGAGAACAGCTTTGAGAAAAGGGGAAAGGACTTGCAAATAGTCCCTTGAGAGAGCAGGAGGCAGCCTGGGGAGCCTGGTGGGAGAGGGACCTTGAGAGGGCAGTGAGCTAGTCTTCATGGCCTGGTAGCTTTCTCCAGCATTACTCAGGGCTCGGTGTGAAGGACAGTGGATTTCACCAGTTTGGGGTTTATGTTAGGTGGTTTAGACTAAGCAATGAGATGGAAGAGTGAAGTTTGGCAAGAGAATGGTTAAAATAAAGGGCAAGCGCTGGGGTGTAGCTCAGTAGAGGAAATGTGTGCTTAGCATATATGAGACTCTGGTTCCAATCATAAGCACCAATAAATAATTAGATAAATAACAAAATAAAAGACAGCTGAGACTGTGGAGGAAGAAGTGAAGATAGGATTGGTCTGAGAACCAGTACCATGGCCTGTGGGCCTAAAGGACCCACTGAGGTCAGAGAACTGGTGGGCTGGGAAAACTTGAGGAAAGTTCTGGAGTGGGAGGGAGGAGGACGCATCTGGACTGGGGTTGTGTGAATGGGTGTGTTAGATGTGGAGGAACTGTGAACAAGTTCCAGGATGTGACAGGGTAGTGGCAACTGGAGTAGGAAGGAGGAGAAATTCATCAGATGTGAGAAAATTCAGGCACTTAGGATGATGGTTGCATATGCAGCTTAAAATGCAGCCATTTAATAAGGGAAAAAGAAGTAAAAGTAATTTTTAATATTCAACCCAGTATTCCCCAAACATTACCATTATAGTACATTTTTTAAAAACCCAACATTATTAATGAAATGTTTCCTATTCTTTTTTCCACAGAAAGCCCTCTCCCCCCCCCCCACTCTTTTTCTCTACCTTCTGAGAGATTTCTATCAATTTTATGTCTTTCAATTATTTTTTTCTGTATTTGGGAGTGAATCCAAGGCTTTGCATATACTGGGTATGTAAGCACTGAGCTACATCCCAGCTCTTTTTATTTAAGTTGGAGTCAAGGTCTCACAAAATTGCTGAGGCTGGCCTTGAACTTTTGATTTTCCTGTCTCAGCTTCCCCAGTGGTTAATGGGGATTACAGGTGTGTACCACCATGCCTGATCTTTCTTTTGATTTTTAAATGTTTCTAATATTATTTCTAACTTCTAAGAGTTTTTATAATGTTCCTTTTTAAAAAAGGAAAAAATATTTATTTATTTATGTGGTGCTGAGAATTGAACCCAGTGCCTCACATGTGCTAGGCAAGTGCTCTACCACTGAGCCACAACCCCAACCCTTTTAGTGTTCCTTTTTGTAGCATCATATTCTTGTTTCATGGATGCTCTTCTCTGTCTCTTTATTTCTCTGAGGACATTAGTGACAATCTTGTTGGCTTTTCTTATTGAGTTGAGCAGTCTTCTTGTTCCCTTCTAGCTTCTGTTTGTTTGGGCCTCTACCATCAGTGGTAGGAAAGGCAGAATCTAATGTCTTGTGATCCTTGGTGTTGTGTTCATTCTTTTTTTTTTAATTTTTTTTTTTTTTAGAGAGAGAGAGAGAGAGAATTTTTTCATATTTATTTTTTAGTTTTCCACGGACACAACATCTTTGTTTTGTATGTGGTGCTGAGGATCGAACCCAGGCCCCACGCATACCAGGCAAGCGCTCCACCGCTTGAGCCACATCCCCAGCCCTTGTGTTCATTCTTAAGGAAGGGAATTGGAAGCCATTGGAAGCTCTGGTGAGAGACAGGTAGGGCTTGTCAACTGTGAACCTCACTGTGGAGCCATCTGGGTAGGCTGTTTTCAGGGTGACTCTCACGGTCAACATCCTTAGACTTATTCTTTTAGGCTGGTCAGAGGCCACAGAAAAGAATTTTCTAACCGTTCCTGGGAGCATAGGTCCTGCTTCCAGAGGGTGGGTTTCTGAGTGGGAAAGAAGGCTGGGTCTTAATGTTCAGTATGTAACTCTCTCTGCTTTCAGTAACTCACTCTCTCCTTCAACTCCATCTGGGGCCCCCAAACCAAAGGCTCCCTGTTTGTCTCTATACTGCTTCTGCCAGACAATAAACCTTCAGTGACTTTCTTGGGTAAGGGGAGGGCACTTCTTTACTGTGCCTAGTAGGGAAGAGACAGGGAGAGAACTGTTTCTTCAACTTTCCACTGGTCTTCCTCTTTGAGTCCCAACTTCAACTGCTCTTCTAAGAGATTTCTTTGAAGCCACCATCCCCTGGCCCTTAGAAAGCCAGTTGACAGCTGGGTGCGGTGGCACATGCCTGTAATCCCAGAGGCTCTGAAGGCTTAGTCAGGAGGATCACAAGTTTAAAGCTAGCCTCAGCAATGGCGAGTCACTAAGCAACTCAGTGAGACCCTGTCTCTAAATAAAATATAAAATAGGGCTGGGGATGTGGCTCAGTGGTTGAGTGTCCCTGAATTCAATCCCCAGTATCCCTGCCCTTTCAAAAAAGAAAGCCCCACCCCTGGGGCTTGTCCCCACCCCTGGCTTGTGATTCCCCCTCCTCCTTAGTCATCAGCTTTTCAACTTCCAGAATTCCTTAATTGTCATCTCCTCACACCTGTGGGCTATGTCTTTGACACCTAGAAATCGACTTTACTGTTGTTCTGATATTTTGGGGAAAGAGCAAATGTAACTGTGTCTGGTCAGTCTGTCACTTGGAAGTTCCACTTCATCTCCTCACTCTGTTCTTTTGTGCTTCCCAGTCCCAAGCCCCTTGTTCCACTGTTGGTTCCAGTTTGTCCCCTTGAGCAGTCCCCTCAAGTGCTCTGCTGTTTTTTTTTTTTTTTTCCTCTCAAGGACCCTTCTGATTCTGTTTTTGGAGATTGACTACTGGGAGCGGCTGCTGTTTGAGATACCCCATTACGTGGTGAACGTAGCTGAACGAGCAGAGGACCTGCGCATTCTGCGGGAGAATCTGCTACTCGTTGCTCGAGACTACAACAGGTAGGGCTCCAGGCCTCACTGCAGCCCTTCTAGATGCTATTTCATTCCTCCTCTTTGTCTTCTCTGCCCCACGATGTTGTCCATTTCCTACAGTTTGTCTTTTACATTTTGTCCATCACACACACAGAAGTTTCCCTATGCTTTCTCTTGTGGCCCCATAATGATTCCTGTCCTTTGTAGTTATGTTTTTCAGCTTTAGAGAAGAGAGCAAAAACAACCAGATTCCTTCCCACCTCACAGGGCATTTCTCTAAGAATGAAACTGGGCCACACTGGGGTCATGGACACAGAATGACAGCAGAGTCATTGAATCAAGGCCATGCTGTTCCCATCTCACTCCTATCCCTTTGGTCTCTGAACCCCCTGTTACCCATCTCTGGAGTGAGGCCTTGTCCTGGGTTAAGTACTGTCTTAGTAAGTTCAGGTTGCTATAACAAAAATACCATAGACTGGGTGACTTATAAACAACAGAAATTCATTACTCAGAGTTATGGAGGCTGGGAAGTTCAAGGTGAAGTTTCAGGCAGATTCAGTGTCTGATAAAGGCCCATTTCCTGGTTCATAGATGATTACCTTCTCACTGTGTCCCCATGTGAGATGGGAGCTTTCTCAGGCCTTCTCTATTTATCCTCATGACCCAGTCACCTTCTAAAGGCCCCGCTGCCTAATACAGTCACCTTGGGAGTGAGGATTTCATATGAATTTGGGGAAATCAATAATTCAGACCACAGAAGGTATCTTTCTCAGTCTAGTGAAAGTCTAAGGGGATGGAACAAAGCATCTGAGTGTCTAGACCTGCCATATTCAGTATGGAGCTTCTCCCTGCATGTGGTTATTTCCATTTAAGATAATTAATTAAAAAATAATGAGTGATGTGGGTCAGTGGTAAAGAGCACCCACCTAGCATGAATGAGGAGCTGGGTTCAATGTTCAGCATCATAAGTAAATAAGTAAGTAAGTAAATGAATAAATAAAAATTTCAGGTACTTATCCCACAGGCCACATTTCAAGGGCTCCATAGTCACATGCAACTAGTGGATACAGTATCAAATAGCACATATTGTAGAACATTTCCATCACCACAGAAAGTTTCTTGGGAAAACACTAGTCTAGAATTGAACTTTCAGATCTTTCCAGGTGTGGAGGAGAGGTCTTCAGAACTTGTCCCCACCAGCTACCAGTCCTTTCTTATATGCAGGATTATAGCCTTGCTGTCCGAAGATGAGCAGGCCCTGTTCAAAGAACGTATTCGATTCCTGGATAAGAAGATTCACCCTGGACTCAAGAAGCTGCATTGGGCCTTAAAGGGGGCCAGTGCTTTCTTCATCACGGACTGCCGCATACATGCCAGCAAGGTAAGCCATAATTGGGAGACCCTAAAGGGCTGCAAGATTGAGGGAGAGGCTGGTGCATGGTAACCCATACCTGAATCTTAGGTAATGGTGGAAAGACCTGAGAGTATTGTAAAAGAAATTAAGTGTGCTTAGGAAAGCACTTTCGTGAGTCATCAACTCTAGGTGGAGGACAGATGAGAGGGTAGAATCAGTTCCAGAGGGTCTCTTTCCCAGCTGAAACTCCCCAACAGAGGTGTGTCCAAGTATGCATGGTGCTGGGGCAGTTCAGTGGAAGATATATTAGTTCCTAGAAAGTGGCCATCTACAGACCACGGGTGGGGTCTGACTCCAGGTGCAGATGATTGTGAATGACTTCAAGGCTTCCACTCTGACCATTGGCTGGCGGGCCCAAGAGATGTCAGAGACACTGTTGGTTCGAATTAGTGGCAAACGAGTATACAGGGACCTGGAATTTGAGGAGGACCAAAAAGAACATCGGGCAGCTATACAGCAGAAATTGATGAGCCTACATGAGGACGTGGTGGCCATCATGACCAACTCCTATGAAGTCTTCAAGAATGATGGCCCTGAGGTAGGCTCCTGTGGCTAGGGCTTTGTGGTTTAAAAAAGCCACAGTCTCCAAGTCCCATTGGACCATTCTCTTGTCCTTACCACCCTCCATTTTTTTTTTAACAGTGTGTGTTTCTCAAACATCCTACTGTAGTCCTGCATTCAGTCCACTTTCAATCTTCCTGTCAAACTCAGCATCTTGCCTTTTTATTTAAGCACCTGTTCCTTTCCATATTGGCTGTTTCTCATTTCCCAGGATTCTCCCTGTTTCCCCCTGAGGGCTTCTTTTGCTCTTGGTTCTTTTCCCACCAGATTCAGCAGCAGTGGATGCTGTACACCATCCGGCTAGACCACATGATGGAGGATGCTCTGCGCCTGAATGTGAAGTGGTCGCTGCTGGAACTATCCAAGGCCATCAATGGGGATGGGAAGTCCACTCCAAACCCACTTTTCCGAGTCCTTGTCATTTTGCAGAATGATATGCAGGGAGGTGTAGCAAAGGTAGGGACCAGTGTGTCAACATCCCAAAGCTATCACACCTTATTTACCAATTTCCCTCGATTCCTAAACTTGGTCCTTGTCCTTGATTTTCAGCTGTGGCCACTGGATCTGGTTCTGAAGCGTTCAGCCTTACCAGTCTTTTTAAAAATTCCATATTTTTTAATTGGTGCATTATAATTATATGGGGAGATTTGTTGTTACATATTTGTACATGCAAACATTGTAACAATATAATTTCCCAGTATTACTCCCCAGTATTTCCCCTTTCTCCTCCTTACCTCCCCTGGTCACTTTCCTCTACTCTATTGATCTCCTTTCAATTTTCATGAGATTCCCCCCACTCAACTTTCTTTTCCTTTTTCCTCTCTAGCGTCTACATTTAAGAGAAAACATGAGCCTTGACTTTCTGAGTTTGATTTATTTTACTTAACATAATGTTCTCATGTTCCATTCATTTTCCTTCAAATGACATAATTTCATTATGTATGGATGAATAAAACTCTGTGTGTGTGTGTGTATACACACACACACACACACACATATATATATATACACACACACACACATACATATTTATGTGTCTCACATTTTCTTTATGCATGCCTCATTAATCTTGAGGCTTGTCTCCTCCATGGGCTGTGCTAAGGTCCTCTCTGTTGTGCTCCTCACAGGTGGAATTCTCACCCACTCTGCAGACTTTGGCAGGTGTAGTCAATGACATTGGCAGTCACCTCTTTTCTACCATCTCTGTCTTCCGCCACCTTCCCGAAATCCTCTCCAAGCGCAAATTTCAACGGGATCCCATCCATATAATTGTGGGTGAGTGAGCACTAGGGGGAGTGTCAGGGGTGGAACTATCAGAGGCTTAGGCCTCGGTGGAGCTAGAAGGAGAGACCAGGGATGTTTGCAGACATATTGGGCCAGTCATCTCCATGAAATATCCAGTCAGGGGACCAGATCAGGGAAGGGAGCAGGGGTGGGATGGTGGAGAGATTAGGTGACTGATGCTCATGATATTTGGGAATTGGGTGGGAAATGAGCAGACACAAGTTTGAGACTGTAGCTTGAATTGAAGAGGTCCCACAGGAGAGATCTCTGATCTTGTGGAGGAAACACTAAGAATCATACTTTCACTTTCTTCCTCCTCCATTGTTTTATAATTGTCATGTTTGAGCAGTACTTCTTTTGGGAACTAGTGTTACAGTGGAAGATCGAGGGCAGTGCCCAGGGGCTAGGCTGGAACTTGGGCTCGGGTGGATATCAACGAGAAGTATCTTTCTGGATCCTTTCAAGAGCGAGATGAGGACATTAAGAAGATCCAAGCCCAGATTAGCAGTGGCATGACTAACAATGCCAGTCTGCTGCAGAACTACCTCAAGACCTGGGATATGTATCGGGAAATCTGGGAAATCAACAAGGACTCCTTTATTCGTCGTTACCAGCGCCTTAACCCCCCTGTCTCTTCTTTTGATGCTGACATTGCTCGGTGAGTGGATAAGGTGGGACAAGTATCTGGAGGAGGTAAAGAATTAATTGGAGGAGGAGGAAAGAACCCAGAAACCAGGGAAAGGGTCTGGAGAGGGCAGATGCAGACACTGTGTGTCTATAGATATTAGATATTATGCTCCCTACCTTAGGACATTGTGAGATCATCAAATATATGTGAGAACACCTTGTGAACTCTAAGGAACTGTGCAAATGGACTAGTTGTGGTTCCGCAAACTTCAGTGTGATGCACACTATGACTAAGGTGTATAAGGTGCCAGGACAGGTCAATGGAAGTTGTGATATCAGCTTTCTGTTACTGTAACAAATACCCAAGGCAATAGACTTATAAAGAGAAAATGTTTGCTTCAAACATAGTTTTGGAGGTTTTAGTGCATGACCAGTTGACTCCATTGCTTTGGGTCTGATGTCTCTGATGGCAGGAGCAAAGCAGTAAACCTCAGGGTCCAGAAGGCTTCCTGCTGGGACCCACCTCTTAAGGTATCCACCACTCTCAATATTGCAAGCTGGGGACTAAGCTTGTAATACATGGACCTTTGCGGGGACATTTAAAAATCCATATTACAGCAGAAAAAAAAAATTTCAACCGGGGGCATCAGGAAAGGCTTTATGAAGTAACTTTGAAGCTGCTCTTTATAGGGTAGGTAGGATTTCAGCATGCACAGAGGGGAGGGCATTGTATGTAGAGGAAATAGCACAAGCAGAGGTAAAGTTGAGCTCCAGAAGCATGTTCCTCACATAGTGAGAAATCTAAAGCATGGGAAGTATGCGAAGGAATTATATTCAGAAGCTGGTCCTCTAAACAACCTCTTGAGATATGTTCCATTATCACTGCCATGTTACAGAAGAGGAAACGAAGATTTAGGACAGTTAAAAAACAACAAAACAACAACAACAAAAAATACTTGGGTTAGGCACAATGGCAGGACCCTGTAGTCCCAGTTACTTGGTGGGAGGCTGAGGCAGGAGGATCGCTTGAGCCCAGGAGGTCAAAGCCAGCCTGGGCAACATAGTGAGACCCTGCCTGAGGTCACAAATTAGAAAGCAGCAAAACATGAGCTCAATCCAGACCCATGCAACTCTAAGACCTTGGATATCAGAAGAAGGAGTATGACCATTATTTCATCTCCAGTGGTTGGGCTTTGTTTTATTTTTTGCAGTGCTGAGGATCAAACCCAGGTCCTTGTGCATGCTAGGCAAGGGCTCTACCACTCAGCTGCATCTCCAGTCCCTTGTAGTGGGTGATTGGGAAGTTGACACAGTCACAGTTGTCTTCTGGGGATGGGTTGGCCCAGGAGACACCTGGAAGTAAGAGAACCCTCTAGAGATGGAAGGAAATAAGAACTTGAACCAGTATTGGGACAAGGGGCACATCTGGGAAGAAAGAAAACATGCTAGTGCAAATCTGGGGTTCTTACAGCTACACAGAAGTGGCTAACAATGTGCAAAAGGAGGAGACGGTCCTCAACATCCAGTTCGTGCTCCTGGACTGTTCACACCTCAAGTTCTCGCTGGTGCAGCACTGCAATGAGTGGCAGAATAAGTTCACAACTCTGCTCAAGGAGATGGCAGCGGGGCGCCTGCTGGAGCTGCATACTTACCTGAAGGAGAATGCAGAGAAGTAGGGCAGGCTCCTGCAGGTGTGAAGGTGGGGGCGGGGGAGGTCCTTCGCTTTCTGCCTACGGTGCTCCCTTTGCTGGCCTTTAGAATCAGCCACCCTCCCCAGACACTAGAGGAACTAGGGGTCAGTCTGCAGCTCATGGATACACTGCAGCACGATTTGCCCAACGTGGAGAGCCAGATCCCTCCCATCCACGAGCAATTTACCATTCTGGAAAAGTACGAGGTGCCGGTTCCAGATGATGTAAGTTCCAGCAGTTCTTTGGTGCACCCAAGTTAGACCCATACCGGTGGCAGCAGTTTGTGGGGAACTGTGGTGCTGTCAGGGGGCAGTGCAGAGAAGAGAGAGGAGGAAGAGGCTCAAGATTCAACCCCTGAGAGCAAGGCTAATTCAAATGGTATTTCTGTCCAGTGTATAGGGTTCTTTTAGGCCCAGCAACTCCCTGCTTGATTTCTTGGGTCCTCATTGTCCCTGTGAAACTCATCCATGAGCTGCATGTAGGGAAATGAGCCTGTAATAGCTACTCAGATTGAGTTGGGAGGATCCTTTGAGCCCAGGAGTTCAAGGCCAGCGTGGGCAACACAGTGAGACCCCATCCTCCCCAAAAAGCTTGTCTATGAACTCTAATCTAGAGAATCAAAAAAGAGACCTTAAAAACATTAGCGAGGGACTGGGGTGGATCTCAATGGTCAAGCGCTTGCCTAGCAGCACAAGGCCCTGGGTTCCATTCTAGCAACAACAAAGCATTTGTGAGAAGGACAGTCGTCCTGTTCATGGCTCCTCCTCCTGTCTCTGATGTACCCAGGTGCTAGAGATGCTGGACAGTCTGAATGGGGAGTGGGTCGCTTTCCAACAAACTTTGATGGAAAGTGAACAAATGCTCAAGAAACACAAGGAAAAATTCAAGACAGGCCTTATTCACTCTGCTGATGATTTCAAGAAGAAAGCACACAACCTTCTGGAAGATTTCAGCTTCAAAGGTACTCTTGCGCCACCTCTCCGCCTTCTTCTTCTTTTTTTCATAATGACCATTTATTTATGTGATGGTGCTAAGAATCGAACCCAGTGCCTCACAAGTGCTAGGCAAGCACTCTACCCCTGAGCCCCAGCCCCAGCCCTCTTCCCTTCTTCAGCCTCTGTCCTGGGAAGGAGAGAACAGAATGGGAGAAGGAAAGAGTCCTCAGCAGGGAAGAGGATGAGCGCAGCTATTGTCACTGGTTTTGGGGTGAAGGCCGCAGCCCGGCTCATATCTCCAGTGTTCTTACCTCACCTGCCCATATTCCATCTGTTTCTGATTCTCCAGCCACACTTGTCATTTTCTCAGTGCTGCCTGTATTCCCTCTTACTCTCCATCCTTTCCCTCTCTCATGTAAGAAGTGAGACTTGCCTACAAAGAGATAGGAGAACCATAGCCATCCTTTCAGGGTACCAGGGAATTGAGCAGGAAACTGAGCTGCCCCTGAAACTCCCCAGGCCCCTTCACCAGCAACGTGGGCTACGTGGTGGCCCTGGAACAGATCGCACAGCTGCGGGCCATGTTGATGGCCATGCGTGAAGAAGAAAACACTCTCCGTTCCAACCTGGGCATCTTCAAGATCGAGCAACCGGCCTCCAAGGACCTTCAGAACCTGGAGAAGGTGTCCTGCTGAGATAGGCCCCTGAGGGAACCCGGGGATGAGGAGCAAGGGTCAGGAGAACGGTACCCAAGGGTCTTGAAAACACAGCTGGCCTGGGGAGATGAGCTCACTTGTAGGTTTTTTTTAGAATGTACTGGCATTCTCATGACATGATTAACCATTTTAAAATGAGCAATCCAGTGGCATTCACAGCCATTGCTTCTGTCTAGATCCAAGACATTTTATTACCCCCAAAGGAGATTACGAATGCCTTAGCAGTCACTCCCATCCCCTCTCTCCTCCACCCCTGTCAATTACTGATTTATTTTCCATGTATATGGATCTGCCCATTCTAGACATTTCACACAAACAGAACCACATGTGGCCTTTTGCCTCTGGACTTCTTTCACTTGACATAGTATCTTTCAATTTTCATCCATGTTGTAGCATGCATCAGTACTCCATTCCTTTTTATGGCTTAGTAATATTCCATTGTTTTTTTTTTATTCACCCCATTTTGTTCATCCATTCTCCAGTTGTGGGTGTTTGGGTTGTTTCAGCCTTTCAGCTGTAGTGAATAGTGTTGCTACGAACATGGGTATACTTATATTTGCTTGAACACCTGTTTCTAATTCTCATGGGTGTAAGCCTAGCAATAGAATTGCTGGATCATATGGTGACTCTGTTGAAGTGTTTGAGGCACTGCCAAAGCTATTTTCCATAGCAGCTGCACCATTTTATATTCCCACTAGCACTGTACTAGGATTCCTATTTTTTCTCTGTGTCCTTGCCAATGCTTATTTTTCTTTTAATTTTTTTTTTTTTGGTTCTAGCCATCCTAGTGGGTGTGAAGTGATATCTCTCACTGAGGTTTTTAATTTGCATTTCCCTAGTGACTAATGATGTTGAGGATCTTTTTATGTGCTTATCATTTGATGAGCCCTTAAGGCAAGCGAAATGAACTGGGGAGGCAGTGCTATACCCTGGAGGGACCAGCTCTAGAGGAATGAGAGGAGCAAATGAGCAACTGTCAGGGAGGAACTAGACTGGGGCCATTTTCCCTGATGACTTGCTGCCTGCCCTGCAGGAGCTCGATGCACTGCAGCAAGTGTGGGAGATCACCCGGGACTGGGAGGAGAACTGGAGCCAGTGGAAGACCGGCCGGTTCCTGACCCTGCAAACGGAGGCCATGGAGTCTATGGCCCATGGGCTGTTCCGTCGCCTCACTAGACTAGCCAAAGAGTATAAGGTGCGTGGAGACAGGACAGGGACGCGCAGATGGGCCATCTGAGGAAGGGGGACTGGTCTCCAAAAGGCCTTTTGGGTCTTCTAATTCTTCCCACTTCTGCTCAGGACAAAAACTGGGAAATTATTGAAACCACTCGCTCCAAAATAGAGCAGTTCAAGAGGACCATGCCTCTCATCTCAGACCTGCGGAACCCTGCCCTCAGAGACAGGTGAGGCTGCCCCTCGGCTTCCAGGGCGACCGCTCTGCTCGCCTGGCCTGGGCTACCTCCTGCTCCTTTCAGTCCTCCCCGCCACAGCATCCACAGCTTGAGCATTCCCTCTGGCCTCTTGGGTGCATCTGTTTTGTTTGTTTTAAATGCTTTTGTTTTTCAGGGCTGGGGCTGGGGCTCAGTGATAGAGCGCTTGCCCAAGGCAGGCGAGGCCCTGGGTTCCATCCTCAGCACCACCTAAAAATAAATAAGTAAAATAAAGGTATTGTGTCCAGCTACAAATAAAAAATAATAATAAATTTAAATGTTTTTGTTTTTCACTTTTTATATATTTATCTTTTTCAAGGTGCTGAGAATGAATACAGGGCCTCACACATGCTCAGCAAACACTCTGCCCCTGAGCTATACCTCCAACCCCCCCCCCCCAATTTACTTATTTGTTTATTTATTTACATTTTTAGTTTTTGATGGACCTTTATTTTATTCATTTATTTATATACAGTGCTAAGAATCGAACCTAGGGCCTCACATGCTAGGCAAGCACTCTACCACTGAGACACAACCCAGCCCCCAAATTTACAAAAATTTCGTTATATTTATAACGTACAACTTGACTTTTTTGAAATATGTATACATTGTGAAATAGTTAACTTGAGCTAATTAACATATGAATTACCTCAGTACTTATTTTTTGTGTGCATGGTGAGAACATTTAAAATCTATTCAGTGATTTTTTTCAAGCATACAACACATTGTTATCAACTATCTTCATCATGTTGTACAATAGATCTCTCAAACTATTGCTCCTATCTAACTGAAATTTTGTACGGGACCAACATCTCGATTCCCTCCTCCCACCCCCAGCCCCTGGGAACCACCATTCTACTCTGCTTCTGTGATCTGACTTCTCTAGATTGAACATATAAATGAGATAATCTAATATTTGTCTTCCTGTGCTGCCTTATTTCATTTCACATAAAGTCCTCCAGGTTCATCCGTGATGCCACAAATGGCAGAATTTCCTTTTTGTTAAAGGTGTAATAATATTCTGCTACATTTTCTTTATCTGTTTGATGGACACTTATGTTGATTTCACCTATTTTGGAGTAATAATTTTAATTCTTTTGCATTGCCTCCAGTGTAATGTTTTTGGCAACGTTTCACCTATGTGATGAAACTGCTCAAAACATTATAACTTAATCCCTTTATTTTCTTAAGTTATTTAACTCTCTAAGCCTCAGTTTCTCTGTTTACAAAGTGGAATAGTAATACTTTCTAATTTATGGAGTAGTTGTAAGGATTAAATGTGCTGTTTCACATAAAGCACTTGTCTCAGCACATGATCCGTGTAAACCTGCAATGATTTATTGAGCTTTCCGTGTGCACACCTGTCTTAATTCCCTCTCCAGAGAATCAACTCCTAGAGGGTGGCATCAATCTTTGTATTCCTCAGGGTGTCTAAGATTGCACCTTAGAGCCTATCTAGTAAAATCTGTTGAATCATGAATTAATAAATACCCAGATCATAATGTCCCAGTGGGTAGAAGCACAGGGAGTGATTTTCTTTTATTCGTATATGTGTGTGTGTGTATGTGTGCGCGCGTGCGCGCGCGTTTGTGTGCGCTTGCATGTGCTCTGGGGATGGAACTCAGGGCCGCAAGCATACTAGGTAAATGTTCTATCGCTTGAGCCCTAGGGATGATGTTGACCCTTTCAAGAGGCCTCGTGTCTGGCCTCTCAGTCAGACTTCCTGTTTTGGGCTGCAGGCACTGGGACCAGATCAGGGATGAGATCCAACGGGACTTTGATCAGGAATCTGAAAGTTTCACCTTGGAGCAGATTGTGGCGCTTGGGATGGATCAGCATGTGGAGAAGATTGCAGAAATCTCTGCCTCAGCAACCAAAGAGCTGGCCATAGAAGTGGTATGACTCAATCCTCTCCCATCGTCGCTCCCACAGGCTTTCAACTGTTTCTAATCTGAGGGCCCCTTTCGGCTAGTCTTCCCCTTGGGGACTATATAGTGATTGTTCTTTCCGCCCTCAACTTCTCTACACAGGCATTACAAAACATTGCCAAGACCTGGGACACGACCCAGCTAGATATAATTCCCTACAAGGATAAGGGCCATCACCGCCTCAGGTAGAGAGGGACCCAGGGCTTCAGGAGAGGGGAGGGCCATGTGATCTGGGCAGTGGAGTGGGGACCCAGTTTTGGCAGATGGGCATGGACTGTGACTTTGATCCCTTGTGGCCCAGAGGTACAGAAGAAGTATTCCAGGCACTGGAAGATAACCAGGTAGCTCTGTCGACCATGAAGGCATCACGTTTTGTGAAGTCCTTTGAGAAGGATGTGGACCACTGGGAACGTTGCCTCTCCCTCATTTTGGAGGTTATTGAGATGGTGCTCACAGTGCAGCGTCAGTGGATGTACCTGGAGGTCAGAACACGGTGCCCGAGCTCTTCCTACTTCTACACCTTTGTGTGCTTAAGACCTAGACATCTGTCTTGTTGTCAACTTCATTTTTCTGTCTCTCAAGTTCACACCTTATCTAGGATCCAGCAGTCCAATCCTTGGTTCTTAACCCTCACCTTAGCTTCCCTTCCTGGCAGGCCTTAGTTCTTCCCAGAGTTTCATTTCATTTTTCTTCTTGGACCCAGCCCACCTGACTTTCCAATCCCAACTTCCCTTCTAGAACTTGAACATATTGCCCATTGGTTCCTAAAGCTCTGTGTCTTCTATTCAGTTATCATCCCTGGTCTGGGAGCAGGGAACAGAGGAGAGTATCTGAGATACGGTTTCTCACCCCAATTCCATGGCCCCTTAGAATATCTTCCTAGGAGAGGACATCCGCAAGCAGCTGCCGAATGAATCAGCCTTATTTGACCAGGTCAACAACAACTGGAAATCCATCATGGACCGAATGAACAAGGACAATAATGCTCTTCGGAGCACCCACCACCCAGGTCAGAGCTCCATGGCTTCTTGCTTAGACATAGCTTCAGTTGGGTCTGTGTATATGGCCACATGTTTTATTTATTGAAAGACTGATTTTATACCTGACCATTATAACACTTCCTGTCACCATTGCCTCTTCTAAGCATTGAATAAGAATAATTTAGCAAATCAAATGCAATAAATACGGGAATGGAATCCAACACAGAGGTTAAGAACACGGGGTATGGGGTTTGGAATCAGACAGCTCTGCGTTCAAATCTGAAATGTAGTCTTGGGCAGCTTGTGTCCTCTATACTACAGTTTCCTCATCTGTTCTAGGAGGTTAGGATAGCAGTCTCACCAGGTTTTTGTAAGGATTATAAAGGAGTATGTAACAGTCCCAGTATAGTTTTTGGTACAAAGGTAGTGTGTGATTAACAGCATCGTGTCTCAGTGGCCCTGAAGGAGAACCATTCTTCTTCTCTAGCTGATTCATTCAGTGAGTACACTTAGTAAGGTGCTGTAGGGAAATGAGATAACACAAGTGAAGCACTTCTAGCCGTAAATGGTACCTAGAAAACCCTTGGTTATTTTTAACTATTGTTATTATTACATTGGCTTTAATGAGTTTATCAAATGAACTCGTCTTTATTGTAGATGCTTTGACAGACATGGGGTTGGGGTAGGGACTGGGGAAGAAGGATCAGGGGTATACATGTTGAGGCCTAGATGACTGGGGTGAATTAGGTAAAGAATCAGGGAGTCAGGGTTGGCAAAGAGCACCTATAATGACAGATACCCTGAGAAGAACATTTCCAGAGGGCGTATGGAGGACTTCTTTATTTTGCCTAGGACTAGTCTAATGATTCTTCATTTCCCCGAGCAACTTGAGTGTACACATCCAAAAATGTAACTTTAATTATCCTGATAAAATTTAAGTCAACAACATGCAAAGTGAGTGACAACAACTGACAATATTTGAGATAATTAAAAAGATTATATTTTGGAACAATTTATTAGCAAAGCTCTAAGAACATCAATCCTCCTGTTGAATGCACAGATCAAATCCATCTGGTCTGAGGCTACTGAGTGGCCCCATGGTCTTCAGGGTTACTCAGGTGATCTCTCAAGGCTCCAACAGCCTGGAGACACTGTTTGAAATCACAGCATCTTGAAAAGACTAGAAACTGGGAAGACAGGGGAAAACCAAGAACTAAGGAATAGCGAAATAGGCTGGGAGAAAAGTGAAGACAATCAGGAACCTACAAATGGGAATACATTTTATTAATATCTTGAATTGTCCTTTGAGATGGATCTCATTGCTGTTTTACAGACAAATAGGTCAAAACTCAACAAGGTTAATAACATGCTAGTAGATGTAAAAACTGCCATTAGAGTGTCGGTCTTCCGTCTCCTAGTCTAGTACCCTTTTTACTATGTCATGAGGGACACTGGCAACTGCATTGGTTACAGACCTCTTTCATTGTGTGCAAGTGATAGGTTTTTAAATTGGTTGATTTAACTTGTTGGATTATGTAAATGGAGAATAATCTCTAATTTTCAGAAGCTGCTGGGTTGACTCGTGGAGCCCCAAGTTCTTAGGTAGATAGGATAGTTGTTCCAAGACTGATGGGACAGTGAAATTGTGAAATCACATACGATGTATAACGAATGTATAATAGTGAGTAACGAATACTTAATAATGAGTTAATGATGAGCATGGGCTAAATATGACAGAGGGATTGGGGATATTTCTCTGCTTTCAAAAACCTTTATGGCAATCTATAACCCAAAATTCCATATCTGGCAAAGAAAATAGAGTTGGGCACTCCAGATCTACTCAGGACAATGGTGAAAAGACCACCAAATGTCATTCACTGCTCTTCTTCCCAGGGCTCCTGGACAAATTGATAGAAATGAATACAATCTTGGAGGACATTCAGAAGTCTCTGGATATGTATTTAGAGACCAAGCGCCATATTTTCCCCCGCTTCTACTTCTTATCCAACGATGACCTACTGGAGATTCTGGGCCAGTCTCGCAACCCAGAGGCTGTGCAACCACATCTCAAAAAATGCTTTGACAATATCAAATTGCTGAAAATCCAGAAGGTCAGTAGAGGTGGCCATGCTGGGATGGAGGGCAGGGAAAGGATGGTGATGTCAAGGTGTCCAAGGTTTTGGAGGGGACCATGCCCTCCCAACAGGAGTGATGTTCATGATTCTAGATTTTCACAGTGCCGAACTTTTTAGAACTGGTAATATTGAGAGGAGGGGTAAGAAGAAGAAATTACCCTCAAAAGGCCCAAATACTTCCAGGCAGATATCAAACTTGGGCAGGCCAGTCTATTAAGAACTTCTCTTTTCTACAGATTGGGGGATCCGGCGGCAAATGGGAAGCTGTGGGAATGTTCTCAGGTGATGGCGAATATGTTGATTTCCTCCACTCAGTACTCTTAGACGGTCCTGTGGAGGTGAGTGGTGATGAGGGTCTAAGAACCAAGTTGATTCTTTTTCCTGTTAGAAAGTCTGCTTGGTTCTACAAGGTGAGAACATCTCCATGAAGAGATGAATGCTAGTTGCTTTTTCAGTGACCTGTTCCCCTCCCACCGACTATTTCTTGTCAATCATAACCTCTGCCTTGAACTTAAATTTCCTCTTGAAAATCAGATACTCTGCACTCCTGGCCTCCATTTCTCTTGGTGACCCAAGCCAGATATTGCCCAGGTCTTGCTTTCCTCCTGATTCCTAAGCCCTGGAGTGCTATTTCCCAGGTACCTTCCCTTTGGGGAGTCTTGCCTCTGACCCTGAGGCCACACCATCCTGTTCTTTCACCTCTCCCCAGTCTTGGCTTGGTGATGTGGAACGCACCATGAGGGTGACCCTGCGTGATCTTCTCCGGAACTGCCGCATGGCCCTCAGGAAGTTCCTCAATAAAAGGGACAAATGGGTGAAGGAATGGGCTGGACAGGTAAGCTGTTTTCAACAAAAATGGGAAATAAGAAGATGGAGGTCACCAGCAAGTAGATAAACAGATTCTAGAGATGCACAAAACAAAGAAAGGTTTCTTGCCCCACTTTGTGGGCTGTGGGTGGGTATACTACATGCTGGACCTATAGTTCCTGACCTGAGGCACATACATGCTCCATCCTTTAGAGCAGAATAGGCACAATGAGAACCTGGTTCAGGAAGCCTCTACTCCACGAAGAGGCTGGAACTCAGGAGCTGTGTTGTGTGGGTGGCCAAGAGCAGGGCCTTAGAATTGGCTTCCGCGCCTGCTCAGATGGTGATCACCGCCAGTCAGATCCAGTGGACAGCAGATGTCACCAAGTGCCTGTTGACAGCTAAGGATCGGGGAGATAAGAAAATCCTCAAGGTCATGAAGAAGAAACAGGTAGGAAGCTCTTTAAGTATGGGATAGGCCTGGAGTAGGAATTTCTGGGAGGGAGGTGATTAGCTAGAGAGAAAATTAGACAAAAAGAAGGAGGAGGAGGAGGAGGAAGGGGAGGAGGAGGAGGGGGAGGAGCAGCTGGTGCAAAAGGGCTAGAATGAGGGTACTTTTGACAGAATTCCAGTGAGGAGAGTTTGGTGTGGAGCAGAATTTGATTTTCCCATGTGGCTGTTAGGTGTGGATGGGATCAGCTTTGGGGTTGAAGTGTTCAATTGGGATAAGTGCATTTTGGCTTGGGAGCCTTGCTGTGTCTGTTCTGCCCTGCTGCCTCATTCCACAGGTGTCAATACTAAATAAATATTCAGAAGCCATCAGGGGGAACTTGACCAAGATCATGCGGCTTAAAATCGTGGCTCTGGTGACGATAGAAGTTCATGCCCGGGATGTATTAGAGAAGCTTTATAAAAGTGGCCTTATGGATGTCAATGCCTTTGACTGGCTCAGCCAACTTCGATTCTACTGGGAGAAGGTATCCTACTCTCTTACCCTAAAACTGATCTTATTCCCAGAATTAAAATCATGTTTCCTAAATGCAATAACAATCTAACCCAACCCTTAGCCCTCTCATAATACCCTACTTCAGTTCTTAATAGTGTTTCACCTCTTAATTCAGGAGGGGTAAATAATTGTTCTAGGCAGTGCTCACAACAGGCATTGCTTGATTGGGACTTAGCTGCTGCCATGGATCAGGGTGGACATGCAATCTGAAGCCCATTTTCCATGTTGATAATAAACCATTCCCTCCTACACTAGGCATGGTGGCGCACACCTGTAATCCCAGCAAGTTGGGAGGCTGAGGCAAGAATTCAAAGCCAGCTTCAGCCACTTAGCAAGGCCTTGAGCAACTTAGTAAGACCTTGTCTCAAATTAAAAACAAAAACAAAACAGAAGGGCTGGGGATGTGGCTCAAGCGGTAGCGCGCTCGCCTGGCATGCGTGCGGCCCGGGTTCGGTCCTCAGCACCACATACAAACAAAGATGTTATGTCTGCTGAAAACTAAAAAATAAATATTAAAATTCTCTCTCTCTCTCTAAAAAAAAAAAAACATAAAAAGGGCTGGGAATGTGGCTCAGTTGTTAAACACCTTTGGGTTCAATCCCTAGTAGTAGTAGTAATAATAACAATAATAAACCATTCCCTCCTTCTAGCTCTAAAGTGGAAATCCTAATCTATTTGCAACCCCCTTCCCTCTTGGATCCATTACCACAGACAATTTCCATCTTGTTCTCACCTCTTTCCCCAGGAGCTTGATGATTGTATGATCCGCCAGACCAACACACAGTTTCAATATGGTTATGAGTACCTGGGTAACTCTGGCCGGCTGGTCATCACCCCTCTGACAGACAGGTCTGCTCTCAGGGAGGAAGGAGGTGGTTGGGGTTGGGGTGTGGAGTTGAGAGAGACTTTTAGGAGTCTTACCAAGTCCTGTCCTCAATTCCCAGGTGTTACATGACACTGACCACGGCATTGCACCTACATCGAGGGGGCTCCCCTAAAGGCCCAGCAGGAACTGGGAAGACAGAGACTGTCAAGGACCTGGGAAAGGCTCTTGGCTATTATGTCATTGTGGTCAACTGCTCGGAGGGCCTGGATTATAAATCCATGGGCCGAATGTACTCAGGCCTGGCCCAGGTCAGCATCCTGATTAACCTGTCCCTTCCACATCTTTTAGTATCAGAAAATCAACTGAAATCCAATTCTGGTTCAGTGTTTCATAGCTTCCATCATTGTGTAACCTGAGATAATTCTAAAAATTTGAGAAGCCCTTGTATCTCCCTGAATTTCATGTTGCTTGTTTACAAAATCAAGATTATATAAAGATTAAACAAGATCATACACAAATAGCTGGGTGTGGTGGTGCATGCCTATAATCCCAGTGGCTCAAGAGGCTGAGGCAGAAGGATTGTGAGTTCAAAGCCAGCCTCAGCAACAGTGAGGTGCTAAGCAACTGAGACCTTGTCTCTAAATAAAATACAAAATAGGACTGGGGATGTGGTTCAGTGGTTGAGTGTCCTTGAGTTCTAGCCTTGGTACCCCCCCTCCAATCCTTCCCCACTTTCCCTACTCCCTGCCAAAAAAAAAAAAAAATCATACACAGAAACTGTCTGGCACACAGTAGAACTCAGTACACACAAATTCCCTGCCCCAGTCTCTTTGCAACCCAGCCTGTCCTTTTGGATGGAAATCTCTGTCCAGAAGCCATGATAGTGCTACTCTGGTGCCCTGTGGCATCTCCAATTTTGGAGCCACCTCATCTACTGAACATTTTAAGGAAGAGTATGGTAGCTGTGCTTTCTAGTATCTTGGGGAAATTTTCTTGCTCCCAGTGACTTTGCCTTTCTCCCTCTATAGTCCGGAGCCTGGGGCTGCTTTGATGAGTTTAACCGCATCAACATCGAGGTACTGTCTGTGGTGGCCCAGCAGATCCTGTCCATCCTAACTGCTTTGGCTGCTAACCTCACTCGTTTCCATTTTGAAGGCTTTGAAATAAATCTAGTGTGGTCTTGTGGAATCTTTATTACCATGAATCCTGGTAGGTATAAGGGAGTGGATAGGACTTCTGGGAATGTGACTGGAGAGCTGTGGTTGTCCAGGGCAAATAATTGCACCTCCTGTTTCCCCCTTCCAAGGGAAAATCTGGCTAAAGATAACAGAGAGTGAAACTGGGGATGCAGCTTGGTGCTAGAGTGCTTGCCAGGCTAAAGGCTACAAAGGGCAAGAGAAAGATATACATGCAGTTTTCTAGAAGGAGGAATACAGTCTCTCTAAAGGGATCAATAACCACTTATGTGTCTATATGTAACCTTAGTCTTAGCTATCCTCTCCTATTGGGCTAACTCCCAGGGTTCTGGTCTACCAGCTGTCCCTTGTGTAGGAAGCAGAATCTCCTAAAGTGCTCGGCCTGGAGTCTCTCATTACTATCCCATAGCTCTAGGGGAAGGTGTAGGAGAGAACAGGCATAGAAAGAGTTGAGGTCCTGAGAAGAATGAAAGAAACAGCTGTGATTTCTATCAGGATTGATGTTGAACTATGTAGAACTTGGAGAGATGGGAAATAAGCAGCCCTGTAATTTCAATTTGAAACAGGCCCATGCAGGAAGTAAGGAAAGGACAGAGAGGAAAGAAGGTCAAAGTTCAATGGGAAGATTCAGGGCTGTAATCTTAGAGTTGGACTTGGAGAGAAAGTTAAGGATAGAGCTAGGGTTGGGCAAAATGGAATTGATAGGGAAGTAGGTTTTGGGAAGCAAGTCAAAATAAGGAAATGCAGGGATTCAAAATAAATGGAGTTGTTTTCCAGGTTATGCTGGTCGCACAGAGCTTCCTGAAAATCTTAAGTCCATGTTTCGTCCAATTGCCATGGTGGTGCCTGATTCTGTACTTATTGCAGAAATCATTCTTTTTGGAGAGGGCTTTGGAAACTGCAAGGTATCTCTAGAATCCCTTTATTCCAGTTATTTTACTTCCCTTCTATAATTATTCCCTGAACAGAGGAACCCCCTGAAGGTCTCACAATCAACTTATCCTACAAGGAACTAGACCATTAACAGTAGGATGAAGGCAGAAGAATTCAGAGGAGGGAGGTCTGCCTTCCACCATGTCACTAACTAATAATAGGACAGTTCACCAGATCTTCCCATCAGAATTGTCCACAGAGCACCTCCCAGGTGCTTCAAGTCCTTGATCCACCTTCTGGTATCTGTAACTATCCCTAGATGAAGAGGGGGGTTTGTGGGGAGATGGGTTGTTTCCTCCTCCGTTTGGTTCTCAGGTCCTGGCCAAGAAGGTGTACACGCTCTACTCACTGGCTGTGCAGCAGCTCTCCAGACAGGACCACTATGACTTTGGCCTCCGGGCCCTCACCTCCCTCCTACGCTATGCTGGCAAGAAGCGTCGCCTACGGCCAGAAATGACTGATGAAGAGGTACATCAAGGACATGGCCCTTGGACCTTAACTTCTATTGCCATTGGTCCTGTGTGCCTTCATTAATGTTTTTCAGACCCTTTCTTGCCCCTGATTGAGATTCCCACCCTCATGCCTTAAACCCTGTGTTGCTCGAGTTTTACCTGTTGTGTTGCTAAGGACTCACTCTGGTGTATCCATTGTTTTTAGTGTCCACCCCTGAGCCCTTTGGAGAAAGGCTTCATAAGAACCTAGGAACTCTCTCCTCATGGCTGAGTCTCTGTCTTTTCCCATCCAGGTTCTGCTGCTCTCAATGAGAGATATGAATATTGCCAAGCTTACATCAGTTGATGTTCCACTGTTCAATGCTATTGTGCAAGATCTTTTCCCCAACATTGAACTGCCAGTCATTGACTATGGCAAGGTATGTATGCCTTAACACTCTCCTAGCTTCATATGTGAATCTTGGAAACAGGGAACCTGGCTTCCAGGCCTTGTTCTGCCTTTTATTAGCTGTGACTTTGAGAAAGATAGTGGACCTCTCCTTAGGTTTTTTTATGTATGATATGATATGCATATTCTCCTCTCTGACTACAGCTCCCTACCCCCTGATTTACCCATTCAGGTTACTTCCATGACACACTTCTTTGATTTCATTGAAAACTTGAATCCATTGGCCTTTTCACTTTCTCAATATCCACTAGCCCTCCCCTGTCTCTCCATATCTCTTCATCTGGGGATTTTGAGGAGTAACTGTGGAGAGCTGTTTGATATGAGGGAAACATGAAGTGGAGGAAATAAAAAGGACTTTTAGAAAGGATAGAAACTTTCTTCTGGGACTGGGGATGTGGCTCAAGCAGTAGTGTGCTAGCCTGGCATGCATGCGGCCCAGGTTCGATCCCCAGCACCACATATAAACAAAGATGTTGTGTCCGCAGAAACCTAAAAAAATAAATAAATATTAAAAAAAAGAAACCTTCTCCAATGTTACAATAGTCTAGCTACCCTGAATGGTCCTTCCAGTTGAAACCACTGAAATGCTGAATAAAAACAGAAAAAAACACCCTTTTTTAAAATGTATTGTTTAACTGGCAAAAATTTCAGGGGGTCATGTGTTGGGGGGAGGGTAAAGGCAAGAACCCTGGGAGGGATGTAAATGAGTTCCCAAAGATGACTTTTCCCTGGAAATTTCTGTGAAATCTAAAGCACTGGGGATAGGAGATAAAGCAGCCCAAGTTTGGAAGTATAACAAAAGCCTAGTGCTGCATAAACCTCAGGCCACAAAGAATAATACTCCAATAAATGGAAAAATGAGACAACCATCATTTAGAAAAGATGTATATGGAAAAGAAACTTGCCTGTTTGAGCTCTGATGATGGAAGGAAGGGGCAAAAATCTCCTTTGATATATCTTAGCCACAAGATAATCCCTCACATGGTTTATGGTCATAATTTATTTGACTGTATGCCAAAAAAATTCAAATTTTGTTTTGTTTTGTTTTGGTACTAGGGATTGAACCTAGGGGCACTTTACACTGAACTACAACCCCAGTCCTTTTTATTTTGAGATAACATCTCAACAGATTGCTGAGGTGAGCCTTAAACTTGTGATCCTCTTGTTCAACCTTCTGAGTAACTGAGATTATAGGGGTGTTCCACTGTACCCCACTCAAGCTTGAATTTTTAATTTTAAGTAGTTCTAGGTTGTTGGTGCCCCCAGGTGACTGGCAAAAGTAAAAGCAAATTGTTTCTGGAGGAATGAAACATTAACTTAGGCCTAAAGGAATCCACACTGATAAAAGCCCAAGAAAATGAGCAACTTGTGGTCAAAAATCACAAAACACATAAAGCAAATACCATAAATGGAAGCTTGAAAAACCAGATCCATGAAGACTTCAGGTATTGAAACAAAAAGATACAGAATTTTTTTTCTTTAAGAGAGAGTGAGAGAGGAGAGAGAGAGAATTTTTAATATTTATTTTTTAGTTCTCGGCGGACACAACATCTTTGTTGGTATGTGGTGCTGAGGATCGAACCCCGGGCTGCACGCGTGCCAGGCGAGCGCGCTACCACTTGAGCCACATCCCCAGCCCATTTTTTAAAAAATCTGTGTTTAATGTTTAAAGAAATAAAAGAGAAGCTTGAAACTATGAACCAGGAACAAGAGACTTGTAAACAAGTAGATTTGAAAAAAAAAAAACCAATAGTATTTCTAGAAATGAAAAATAAGATTATTAGAGGGGCTGGGGATGTGGCTCAAGCGGTAGCCCGCTCGCCTGGCATGCGTGCGGCCCGGGTTCGATCCTCAGCACCACATACCAACAAAGATGTTGTGTCCACTGAGAACTAAAAAATAAATATTAAAAAAAAATTCTTTTTTTCTCTGTCTCTCTGTCTCTCTCTCTCCTCTCTCACTCTCTCTTTAAAAAAAAAAAAAAGATTATTAGAGAAGCAGCACAAAAAATCACGATAGAAAGATAGGACTTCCAGAGCTGGGGCTGTGGCTCAGGGGTAGAGTGCTTGCCTAGCATATGTGAGGCCCTGGGTTTGATCCCCAGCACCACATAAAACTAAATAAACAAAATAAAGATATTAAAAAAATAAAGGACTTACAGGTAATGAAAGTAGATTAAAACACACTACAGCTACACTAAAGAAGTTTGTAAGTCATACACATAAAGGGATGGGGAGAATGAGAGAGGAGATAACAACCAAATGTCAGATGTAGGAAACAAATGGGTAAATTGTGGCTTCTCTTAGCAAGCCTGAGAAAACTGGGGAAAATTGAAAGGCAATCTTCAGAAGGCTCAGCAGTTGTGAAATTAGGTGTCTCTGTAGGTTGGGAGTTGGCTGAGATGGGAGGATCACTTGAGTTGTTAAAGCCTAGCCTGGGCAATATGGCCAGACCCTTTCTAAAACCAATAAAAAAGCAATAAGCAAACAAGCAGAAACTACCATTAATATTCTCAGAGAGTGAAATGCTAGTGAAATGTTATTTAAAGGGCACTATTCCATGAGATGGACATCATTACCCTAGGTACATGTTTGACTGCACATATGGTACAATGCTGCATCATGTACAGCCAGAGAAATTAAACATTGTGCTGCAGTTGTGTACAATGAGTCAAAATGCATTCTGCTGTCATTTATACCTAATTAAAATTAATAATAATAATAATAAAAAACCCTAAAAGGCACTATTCCAGAGAATAGAGCAGAGAAAGGGGAAGGAGAGAAGATTCAAAAGCAAATCTAGGAAAGACTGTCCAAATAAAGGGTTACAAAAATAAGAGCAAAGGAAATATTGGGGGTGAGATAATAATGAAATAATTCAAGAAGACTCTCAAGAGCTGAAGGATAGAAATTTACAAAATGAAAATGTCCATAAGTGTGTGACATAATGAACAAGAATACATCCTTATGAAAGCCCATTAATATGAAATTTCAAAACACTAGGACAAGTACAGCTTCCAAAGAGGGCAAAAAAAAAAAAAAAACAAACAAACAAAAAAAACTATATTCCAAAGGTAAAAAAACAGAAGGCTAGGCCTGGTATGGTAGCACACACCTATAAGTTTGAGGCTAGTTTCAGTAATTTAGTGAGGCCCTAAGCAACATAGAGAGACCCTGTCTCAAAAAATAAAAAGGGTTGGGGATGTGGCTCAGTGGTAAAGCACCTTAAGGTGCAATCCCCAGTCCTAAATAAATAAATAAATAATCAGAATGCTAGACTTCTCAATAGCAATATTAAACTTATAAACAATCAATGGCACAAATCTTCAAAATTATGGAGAAAAATTATTTCCAGCCAGGTGTGGTGGCGCACACTTGTAAACCCAGAGGC